GGGGGCGGCCCTGGCTGAGGGCAGGCCCTGCCCTCCCGGCCGCACTCGGGCGCGGGAGCCGCTGCGGGCTGTGCGCGCCGGAGCCCGGGGCAGGACGGCTGGGTTACGGAGCTGCCGAGCGCCGGCGGGGCGAGGCTCAGCTTTGTCTTCACGTTTTGTAGTCGGACAGAACCAGCTGTGACCCCCGAAACCGCGCGTCCTGCGGCCGCCATGGTGGCCAAGGATTATCCCTTCTACCTTTCCGTCAAGAGGGCAAATTGTGCCTTGGAGGTGCCGGCGGTCACCAGCCCAGCTAGAGAGACGGAGGTACTTAATCTACTGCTGATACACGTTTGCAACTCTATATTTCTTTATGGTGTGATCTGTATTGCTTTGGGGAAGGGCAGTGTGCTTCTGTGTGTGACACCCGGTCTGTGCCGGCATCCTTTACTGCCATCTCCAGATGTAGAACTTCCCTTTGGAATAACGCAGGGAACACAGAATCTAGATTTTTGTCATCTGTCACCTTAAGGAATTAAAATTAATCTTTTAAGTTGCTAATTGAGAAATACCAGGTTTGAAGTCATTTATATGTATTTTATTACAGCGCTAACCATTACTTACAAATTGTTGAACTTCTGCAGGAACTGGGGGGGAATCTGGAAAATGGTATCTTAAAGCATTATCTGTCTTGACCTCATTAATAATAAACCAAGAAATTAATCGATAATACAGTTAACTGACAACTCTGCCCTATCAGCAATTTGACTGCTCTGTTTCTTAAAAAGCATGAAAACCTTTCGAGTTACATTAAAAATCTTATTCGTTAACCCAAATTCAACATACTCATTTGCAAAATTCTCATAAATGGTACAACGTTTCAGAAACAAATGTTTGTGAAAGGCTTAAATATTTGATACTTTAGGTTAATGTTGCTTTGTGTGCTTGTTTGGAAAGAAAACAATGACCTTAAGGATTGTGTGTAGCTACGCTGGAGGAAGGATAAAATTTCTCTCTGGAAGTTCTTATCACTTAGATATATATGTAGCTTCTTTATTAGTCTTGTTTGCCGAGTAACTTGAAGACAACTTACTACGTTGGGTGCATTTAATACAACTACATCAAAGATTAATTACCTCCAGCAGCTGAATGGATCTAAAGTAAAAGTAATATAAGCCAAATGACCCCATTTAATCATGATGCTTAAGCTAAGAACTAGTAAGAAGATGCTGCAGTCTTGCTTTTCAGTGTACTTTTACATAAAGGGATTTAATTATTGCAGTTAATGAAAGTGGAATTTTTTTCAACTGTGTGTTTGAAAAGTAACACCCTGAGTGTGTACGTACATATACATCTATGTAAAACACAAGTTGTTAAGTGTGAAATGGTTCTCTTAAAGGTGCTCACTTTACTAACTATAATATTAAAGAAATATGTTTTTAGCTTTTACTGCATGAAGGGTGTTTTGTGAATGAGTAGAACTGTTAAATCTGAAGAGTTGGAGTGTTGCTCTTTCACAGTTAGGAAGGGCAGCTTAATTATAGTTAAATTTCAAAGAAAAAGTCTCAATGAAAGCTTAGAGCATGAGGAAGTATCTAATAACAGATGTGATCAATCAAAATTACAATGTGCAAACAGTTGTTTTGGATTTATAATCTTTCAGTTTGTGTTTTATACAAATAAGAAAATGCACCCTATGCTTTTAGGCTATTTTCTGAGACTATGATGGATTTCAAGCATTCTGAAAAATAAACATTTTCCCGTTTGTCTTAGGTGGGTATGAAAAGACCACCTGCCACTCCAGAAATCTGGTTAAGGAAGCAGAAATAAAAACTACTCTTTGGGAAAGACTTTATAAGGATAGATATATGCAGCCTATTTCTTTGAAGTCTGTGAATTGGGGGTGAGCTTCTCAGGCTCTAATGTTAGACTGTTTTTCCACCCTTTGGTATGTACAAGTCTAAATAAAGCTGTTGGGCGCCTTCTATCACAATTTTGTGTCACTACATCAGAAAGTTAGTTTGCTGAATGTGGGTTATGAATTTCTGGCTTTGAAAAACCTGAGTTTAATTTTAATAATTAACATATGAACTTGGCTGCTTTATTTAAAAACCTAATTTGTGCATAAATGTTGATATGTGTGGAATAGAACAGATTTTCTGCAATATAGTTGTTGTGTTTTAGTTTTAAATCATAACTCATGATTATAAACTATTTCCTCTGACTTTAATAAACAATAATGTTTTAGTGTTTGCTTTGAACTAATACAAAATATAGTCTGGAAGATCAAGCACAGTAGTACTTACATGGGATGAAATTCAGCAATAATCTTGAGCATATACTGTACTTTTGAAATTTTCACAAATTTCCAGCTGGGTCTCTGGGTAACAAGCTGAAGCTTATGGGCAATGGATTAGTTCTTCCTTAACCTTGGGCTTCACTTGGAACCAGCAGAGCAGTGGTGGAAAACTAGGGATGTTTTTGAGGAACAAGCCAGTGGCACAAAAGAGAACAGAAGTTTTCTACTCTACAGTTCTTTCTTAGTGCCACACCAGCTTCCTTGGCATAAACTGCATAGAAGTAGCACAGTCACAAAACATGACAAATAAAATGTCCAAAATGTATGTGAACAGTAAAAATCTGGACTCTGGGAAAGGCTAGTGTACCTTTAGTCAAAGTACAATTATCATAGTTCTTTATAAATACAGTTTAAGGGTGACAAAACACTGCAGTGCCTGAGGAATTACTTAATATAGGAAATACTATAAGGCCTTTATGTATATTGTTGCACTCCCCACCTAAAATACTGTAGTACAGTTCTAGGTGTAAATGGTACAGAGGAGTTTGGTTCTTTCCAGCTTTTTCATGATTCAAAAATAGAGACAGTTAGTAAAACTTGAAATTTGCTTGCTTTGAGCTATAAAAAGCCCCACATCTTTCCCAATGATACGTACTATTTTCTATGTTTCACTGATTAAAACAACTCCCTTATCACCCCCTCTAAAAGAAACAAAGTGGAGCACAGCTGGTGGATGAGCAGCAGATAAGAAAGAGCATGCACAATCACAGACTGAGGTTTGAAGGTCTGAAGGTGAAGTCATGGGAAGACATGAATTCCTTAGAGTAAGCATCTGCTATACAAGATCTAATACAGTGCCTGGCTTTAGGCTCTAAAAACTACAACGGTGGCATAGAATGCCTTTACATCTCTGGTATGTTGTATGTCTGCTTGTGTCTCTTACACTGCAGAAATCTCAGACCTAGGACTTTGCAATCTGCCTTTTGTTGTCTCCTGGTATCCTCACTATTTGACGTGCAGGAGGTCTGGGCTGCCTTGTGCTCAGGACTGTGTTTAATTCGGCATGGGGAGTGCAGGAAAACTAACCTGAAGGGCCATGGCACATCATTAACATGAGAACCAGGCAAGGAGCCAGAGGGAGAGGGGCCAAAAGATTGAGATAAACTGCAAGCCATGAATTTTCTTTGATCTTCACAAATGTATGTATTTAATTTTTAATGAAATATTAGCAAGCTGCAGTTTTGATATATTTCAGGTAAGTTCATGTGCAGTGTAACTGCAGTGAGCTAAACGTGGAAACATGTCAAACCCCCACATTGGAATTGCTGATCTGTTCTGCTTAATGGCACTTTGAAACAAACAGCTTGCCTTTATTTTTCCATTCAGTAACTCACCGTATGATGTCTTGCTTGTTAATTGGCAGTCCAGCTTCATACCCAGTTTGTTCCAGAATGGAAAAGGTCTTTCATAGGTAGTCTGTACAAGCAGCTTCTAATGAGGGGAAATGCACAATTTAATCAACTCTACATTAGTTGTCTGGGTTTTTCAGAGTTTCTGTTACTTGTGTTAATTCACCTCGGTGTGAGGTTGTTCTGTTAATTTCCCTTCATTTACTAACTGCTGGTAGACATATTGATTTCTGGATATTGCAGATAAATAATCAGTCAAGATAGCTGGGTGCAACTTGTCCTCATGCTGCTGACACTTCAGTGGCTCTGTCTTGCATATGGCAGATGAAATCAGAGGTCTGAAGAGCGGTGTCTGATGAGGGCAGCCTGTTTGTGACAAAGAGACGATCCTTGATGAACACACGATACGATAGCATGTTGCAGACTTCAGCAGATTTCTTCAACTGACAGTACTTCACCACTTCTCTATATGGCTTGTCATTGTACCTTGACTATTGTTTCAGGTCTTATAACACTTTGATTAACCCAAAACGTCTCTGGATTTTGCTTTATTTGCTTGCTGGTTTTGTGAGGACTGGCAGAGGAGGAGCCTCCTCCTGCTCCCATCAGAGAGTGAAGGTGGTGGATGGAACTTTGTGGATTTTGGTGGATGGAACTTTGTGGATTTGAAGGAAAGTTGTATCACTGATACACAGAATTTATTGGCTGATCAAGTTGCCTTTATGTATCAATTTATTTAAATTGCTTAATAAAGTCTTGTGATGCTGGCAGTTTTACTAGCGATGCCTGTCCCCGGTTTTAGGATGGATTTGTGTGGAGGGTTGCAGTTACCTTTGTGCAACACTGAACTATACTTAGAACTGTTTTGGAGCCACCTACTTTGTTTTTCCTGACCATCAGCCCCAGATCTAGAGGAGTTGAATGTTCTCAAATTTCCTAATTGAAATAGTTCTAAGATACTATGAAGAAAAGGCAAATTCTCTGCTGTTTCAATTATTTAAAAAATACAGTCTTTATTAGCGCCAATAACAATCGAGAATGTTGTTCTAGTTTTAGATTTGCTTCTCTCTGAAGGTGCAAAAAGCCAGAGATGCCTGGCTTGCTTTATTTTAGATAAAGTGTTTGCTGTATTAAGAGACTCTATTGTAACATAGGTTGTTTTTTCTATTTTAACCTTTTTTGTTTGTTTTTTATC